TTGTTTTATATCAATTGGCCAGTGATGGAGAAAAAGACAACCAATTATGAAAATAACTAAACGAAATTCGAAAGACATCCCATCTGATTCATCTATTAAACCTATATAAGATCACAATCCCCTCCAAATGCAAGTATTTCAAAAATACCTGTGCCATTCATGTTTATCAGCACTCCTTCATCCAGCGTATACAGAATCGTTTTATCTCCTCGCAGTTCATTACTCAAGACTCGCTTATACGCCAGCCCGGCCCATATACCCATAGCGAGCGAGTCGATTCGGCCTCCGTGGCGTGAAAGCCGCTTCAAGAGGAAGGACGATTAATCTTGATCCCAATTATCGCGTCGTTTAGCTGCGATAATTAAGCATCGCTCCCCAACCCCCGCTTAAACTTCTACGGGGAAGAGCAAACTACCCACTGAGAGGAGAGGGAAACAATACCTCCACGCGAGAAACGCTCCTTACCCAAGTGAGCATGCACGCGATGGTGAGGTTCTGATGAAAAAAAAAAAAAAAAAAAAAATAGCTGAGAGTGTGAAAAGCTTTTAAAGCCTCCCCGTACACACACGCTTGCGCCCTTCTTTTCGGCGTGGGAGATTGATAATTTATCAAGCGAGCCCTCCTCCCCTTCTCACACCTGTACACACAGGCTGTCGTGATGAGCTCCGAGCAAGGCAGTATCTTGATTCACTTCGTAGTATTCTTTCAAGATTTGTTACCGGGGATGGGACTTGATTTCATCGCCCCTGTACAATTCCGTAGCTATTGTGTGACGGAAATAAATTGATCCGAATAGTTTTACCGACAAAACCAAAATCAATCGAGTGCATTATTTCCAAAAACCCACCAAACTCCAGGATCCCAATGACCAATCGGTACTACGGTCCATAAATGTTTCGCTCCGTGACCAGCGTACCCACACTTGCCGGAAAACAAAACTAAAGACTGACAAATCACTCCCCAATAATCAAGCTTCACGATCTCCCCTAAAACTGTGTCGGTCGCACTCGGAGCGATAAATCTCGTGAAAATTTCGCTCTCCCTCTCTCTACACGTCTGACAAGTACCCCCCAGCATCGGTCGAAAACCATCCAGATACCCAAGCGCGTCCAGCGGAAGGAATCGAGAGATAGGGCCCGCTAATACCGCGCCAAAAGAGAGCTGGAGGCTGCGGCGTTTATTGCTGATTTATTATCACCGACGCGGGCAGTTGATGCGCACGAATAAACGACGCGCGCAAACACGCCCGTTTATGATTATACAGTCGCCCCAGGCTCCAAAATTGGGTTAAAACGTTTCGTAGTCGTTGTTGTTGTTGGACGCAGCCCACGCGCACTCGAGGCAGACACGCCGGACATTACGCATAGGGACGCTGCTCCATAAACATCTATTCGGACCGGACGCCCCCCTCGTTGGGCTGCAGCGAGGGTGCAATAAATAATACAGAGGTATAATTGACGTGTACGCCCGCATACGCATCTACGGCACCGCTTGTGATTTTCGAGTGCGCTTCGCAGTGCTCGTCCGCATGTGGGTACACGCCAATTGCCGAGTAGCTTCAGTGATTGTACGGGCAGGGACGAGGGCGAAGGGTTTTTTGTTTGAGTTTCCGACGGGGGAAGCGTAGGGAAGTTCATCATCTGTGTGTAATGCGTTGTCCGAGGATGGAAATTTCCGCGACCGTGTTTGTCTTCACGAGCGGTTGGCTGGCTCCAGGGTGATATCGTTCGCTCTGTAGGTAGTTACCCGCTTGGTATTCGGGGTTTTTCTCACCCTTGCACGGTGCTGCTTTGGTTTTGGAAATCCCTTCGGTATCCAGGGTAAAGTTGTGGGGGTGGAAATTCCCAAGAACATCACGCTCGTGCAGTAAGATTCGAGATGAGTTGCAGAAAAGTTGTTACAGCTGGTTTGGAGTGAAACGCGAAGTGTGTGTGTTCCTCGAGAGGCAAACTGGTAGAAAAGAGGCTTGTACTCGGTCTCTCAACGCAGCAATCGTATTACTCGAGAGATGCGTTTAATTAAGCGATAATCTAGACTTTCACTGCAGCTGCAGGACCTAATTAGTTGACTGGAAAAGTAAAGCAGCCTTCCCCCCCTGCTGTTGCCTTTTATTTTGGTGCAGCTCATTTTTTGTACCTAGATACTCCGGAAATACGAGTCTTAAAGTCGATTATTGTTTTTCGTTCTATCCGTTGTACTCATTCGCTCCTGATTTATCTTATTTTTTTCTTTCAATTTTTCATCTCAAAGTGCTCGTTCAAAACAACGAAATATCTTTTTTGCGAGAGAGTTTTTTCATTTTAGTGTCCTCGTTTCCTCTGAATCGACGCTCTTTGAAATGCACTAGAATAAACTTAGGTTTTCACCGTTGAAAACGTAAAAAATTATGCTACAACACGCGTATCCAGCAAACTCTTCGGGCGATTCAATTTCCAAGTTTCAGCAAACGCGATGCGTGGCTCTCTGTTTGACCAGAAAATAGAGTAAAGCACCGGAACGCGCGAATAAACAGCCGAGCAACTTTTCGGGAAAATTTTCTCCAGCGTTAGAGACGGGAGAAAAACAAACTCGTCGACATTCTGACTAATAGAGAGCACTCGAGTAAGTCAAGATTAACGCGGCGCGAAAGGGAGAGCCAAGCCTGCAATAACGAGGCTAATTTCGCCGGCTCGGCTGAGTGAGCGGCTGATTTGATTTGAATTGGCGCGCTATTAGCCCCTCGCGCGAGCGTAGTTCCCTCGGCGTCTTTCGAACTCTCGAAATTACATTGCGAGATCGACGGGACCGTTAGAGTGAGTCATGTTCGTGGATGTAGTTCGCAAACTGCACGGGAGAACGAGCCCATACACAGTGGAGCGAGTGTAGTGGTAGCGATGGAATGGAAATGGGAAACGTTTCGCGGACGGGACTCGGCAGCTTTGATGTCTTCGCCGTCTTATTCGTTTTGGCTCTGAGATGATTACTGAGTGAATGTTTCTCGAGTTTGTTGATTTTTGAATTGGTTATACAAAGTGGTAAAATAATACGTTACCCGTGATATACAGAAAAAACAGTCTCAATATATTTATTGAATTACATTCGTCTGACCACACGGTGATTTTTCCACTTGTTTTTACAAAATAAAGTATTTGTTTGCTTACTCGCCAATCAAACTACAAAAACATATCCTGAAACAGTAATTACTTGTTGAATGATTCTGTGGGTTCTACCATGTCCTTGTTTCCTTTCTTTTGGCTCTGAAATGTTTAGCGTGTGTGTAAATTGCAGAGAAGAGTTTCTCGAGTTTTTATAATTTAAATAGTTACTATGAAATAACATAACGTCACAGCACATGCAATTTAAATATTTTGATTGAATTGAATTTTGATAAAAAATTCGAGTAGTAATAAAAAATCAGTTCGTCTGACAATACATTGACTTTTCTACTTACTTTCACGTTGGATTAAAAAAAAAAACTTAGTATCACTTGACGAATTTATTCACCAATCAACTGAAATTTTATATGCAGTTCAACTACAAGCATGATACACTATGTATTTTGTTCTCTACAACAGTGTATGTATACATAGTCAGTGCAGTTTCTTTGCTAACCGCCTCTGTTCGTGCAACTACATCCTCTTATCCTTACTCTTGGCTCCAAGATGACTACTGAGTACACACTTAAGTTACTTTATATGTCTTGAATTGTATTTTGAAACTATATACAGTGTATACCTAGTGAAATGTTGCATAATAGGATCGATCGGACACATATGCATGAGTGTTTCTCGAGGTTTGTATACCTTAAATTATTAGCACAAAATACTTTGATATAACAGTAAACGTTTTTTTTAATTTATATTGAATATGGCTGAAAAATTTTCCAGGTATTCCAAACAAATAATCGTCTGACCATACGCTGACTTTACTACTTGTTTTCGAATTACGCCCACGAGCTAATGTATTAATTATCATAAAATTGAAGTAAAATTTAACTCACCATAAAAACTTCATTGTTTACCTGGCTGATAAATTAAATATGACGCTTGACAGCAAGCACAATGTGTAAAATAATATCCCTTAAAACAGTCAGTGCTATAGTTTTCTGACCCATTTTGTGTGAGCTATGTATCTTTGTGTCCTTACTCTTAGTTTTGAAACGACTGTTGAGTGTACAGTATATTTGTAACACTAAACGTGTCGTATCTGTCTCGGATCATATTTTGAAACTGTATACTATGTGTAACGTATTGTTGCGTCATGTGATATGGAACATACGCACGGCTGTTCCTCGAGTTTCACATACTTTGAATAGTTAGTATAAAATTCTGTGACATAATAGAAAACGTAATGTTAATTTTTATAGACTTTATTTTAAAAGAATTCCTGTAATGGCAAATGAACGCTTGCCTGATCATACGTTGACTTAACTACTAATTTGCGAATCAGTTTTACGAGCAGGTGTAGTAATGTGTTCCGAAATTATAGATCAATTAAATTTACCAACAAAATTTTATGTATTATCCCATTGATGTATCAAATATTAAATTTGATAATAAATTCGACGTGTATGATGCCTCCTAAAATTTTTGTATACTTCAAACAGTTGGCACGAAATGCTGTGATATAACATCGAACGCAATACTGATTTTCTAATTTAGCTAAATAACGCTCGGCTGACCATACGTTGACTTTACTACTTGTCATTGAATCACGCCCATGAGCAAGTGTAGGAATTTGTTCTAAAATTATAGTTCAATTTACTTTACCAGAAAATTTGTATGTACCATCTAATTGATGAATGAAGCATTAAATTTAATAACAAACACGGTGTACAACTTATATAATACCCCCTAAAACAGAAATCAGTGAAATGGCTCGTTGACCGCTTCTATGCACGCAATCTCTGGCGAGGCAAATCCCCTTCCAACCAGAGAGTCTCTGCCAGAGCTAGAATTAGAGCCATACAGAATGAGAAAGAGAGTATAATCCAGCCGTTTGTCGCTATCTCTTGTTCGCAGGGTCGGTGTAACCGGGAGAAGCCGCCATGCAAGTACTTCCACCCGCCACAGCACCTGAAGGACCAGCTGCTGATAAACGGTCGCAATCATCTGGCGCTCAAGAACGCCCTCATGCAGCAGATGGGTCTTAGTCCTGGCCAGCCTTTAGTACCTGGTCAGGTGCCTACGGTGGTACGTAAACTCGTCTGTTTTTAATAGTAACAATTATATTATGGCAATAAAGTACTCGTTTTCCGATTTTCGGGCAATCCATACAAATCGATGCTCTGCTTTTAATTTCGATTTCACACGCCTCGCCCGTGAGCTGCTAACACACGGACATTTTTTTATTTATTTATTTACTGTATTTCACATGCGTGCATAAATCGCCTTCTGTTTGTTAATATTTACTTTTAGTAACCCTCCTTTTTGTCTCACTGTCGCTCGAACTAATACAGTTTCTCCATTTACTTCATATTTGGATTATATTTTTTAATTTTGGTATTTTTGATAAGTATTTCTGTGTAATTTTTTTTCAAATTAGTTTTTTTTCTTTTTTACGCTCACCTCGGTCATGAGGTGTAGTGATGCAGTAATTTTTTTATAGCTTATATAGTTTTTGGCACAACGAAAGTGTTTTTGTTTCGTTTTGAATGTATCTCCACATTTCTAATTTGATTAGATTTGGATTTATTGAAAATTTTTAGTTAAAATTTTTTCGTGCCCTACAAATATAAATAGTATTTTGTAGAACTGATTTCGTTGTGCCAAAGAAATGCATTTAAAAACGTAAATACATTATCGTAATTGCATGATGTTTCTCAGTGTCATTCTACTTATTCAAGCCTTCTGCTTATCAAATTGCAAACCTATTAAACTTGTATTTTATCACATTCTTACACGGATCTTCAGGTTTTGGATTCTCAAGTCCGCGTAACCATTTATTTTGCTATTTTTTATTTAAAATATGGTTGAAACTCACTTGGACATAATTACGCGGCAAAATTATAAAAGAAGTACACTTGAAATGTCAATCAAATAGTCAAGGGTCCTATAAATACCAGTTGTCACGAAAATGTAGAAATCAAAGCTTGTAGTACCTACTGTTTTGAAAAAAAAAGTTCTTCATTACAAGTAGTAAACTTTTACGATTGCTAAGTAAGAGAGTTAAACATTAAATTCAGAAGAAAGAAAAAACAGTCAACATTTTGTTTAACGTAATAAAAATATGCCGAGCTTGCAAGCTCGAAGGACTATTGGCTATACGCTAAATAAAACCAAGCCTGCACCAAAATCGGCTTGCTTAAAAAATCGATTTTAGTTAAACTATTTTTTTTTTTTCCACATTTACTTATATATTTATTTTACTTTTTTTGCTCGTCAATCGACAATCGAGAGCTACGTAATATATATAAAACACACGTGTATGACTGCCTGTCTGTTCCCTCATGTTTGCCGCTGTGGTGCGCTCGTTCGTGGTTGTGGTTGATTGTTGGTGTGTGTTCTCTCTATCTCCAATTACCCGTCTGATTCTTGGCGGATATAAAACACACACACAGGAGTCCCAACCTCCTGCGCCGTCACACCAGCACCTTCAACAGCAAATCCAGCAGCAACTGCTCGCTACCCACGCTCTTATGGTAATTTCCTGGTTTTGGTTTGGCCTACACTGATTTTATTTTTTATTTAAGTACATTTTTTTTTATTTCAATATTTTTTGGTTTCTTCTAGTATTACTTTGTATAGTATACATATTTTACTTCCAGCTGCATTTGAACGCAAGGACTTGTGATTATATCATTGTTTTTCTTGAATAATCGTTATCTACAACTTTTTGTGTTCAAACGGTTTCTTGTAGTTAGTCATTAATTCAGTGGAAGCTTGTGACTCGTAAAAATTTGAATGGCACAGGAAGCTTAAGTATCGAGGCTAATTAATTGTATTTTTTTACACTGCATGATTGTGATGTTTGTCTGTTATTTTTTTTTACATTTTTTTTTTTTATACATGCAATAATTATATGCCTACATTTTGTATAAAAGTGGCATACACAAAAGCGCCAGTGGTATAGTATAAGCTTCCCTTGCACCCTGAATTTTAAAGTAAAAACGAAAAGTTGCCAATCACTTGTTTTTTCGCGATTTTGTGACTCCCCATCGACTCTTGTACAACACGGATTTTTCATTTTTTGTCTGCGTACGACTCATCAACTCGAGTACGAAGCAGCGTTTTAATCTAGCTGGGCGTTTCTATTTTCTAAAATTATTTTCCGATATTATCGCTATCGTACTTAATACTCGCGCAGTTACGCTTGAAATGAACTGGCTTTGCTCGATGATTAGTTATCGCGGAATGTACAAAAAAAATGCACATTTGGAACTCCTTTTGAAATGTTGGCAGAAAAATCGGTATAAATAAGAACAAAAAATAAGGAATCGTGATTAACGGTGTTCTTTCGCTGAGGTAAATGATTTCTGGTTTTTTTTTCCGTTTTTTGATTGACCATCTTCTTGTTATCCCGGTATGGAGAGAAATACACGATGTTTGTTCTTAGCATTACTTGGGATTGACGAGCGCATGTTTACTCTGTTGCTGACGGGTCGCATTATTCAAGACTAAAGCAAATAACGCTTCAACTCGACTATCACGCGAATCCTCACTCATTCGTTTGCAATTACTCAACTCGATTGTTGATCTCCCAATTAGCCATTGTTCGCAATGTAAGAATCATACATCTATCCCAAATCCAACAAAGGCCTCGTATTATTATTAGTGATAAGTTATAAATGATAAGTCTAGAAATTTCAAATGAATGGGGAGAAGCAATAAAATATATGAAATAAGAAAACCCATGAAAAACTGGGCCACCAAAAGCACAGTGACAACTCAAATTAACAACTGGGTTTTGATCCCACTTTCCCTCTTCTCCCTGGTTCCCTCAACCCTCTGGTCTCTCTTTTTCTCTGTTCCAGGCAACAAACCCCTACCTGACCGGCATGCCGCAGGTCGGCAACACGTACAGTCCCTACTTCGCTCCCAGTCCCATCATGCCAGCCATCATGGGCCCAGCGGACCCGACGGGCGTCGGCAGTCCCCTCGGCGTGGTACCCCAGACAGTGGCGATGCCCCAGAAGATGCAACGCACGGATCGGCTCGAGGTATGTCTACCAGCGAACTACATGCGCCAGGTGGCGGCACGGGCTGGGCCCCCCGCCCCGCCCCCGCCCCAGGCCGTCTATCAGGCTGCCGCAGCAGCAGCAGCCGCCGCGGCAGCCGCAGCCGCAGCCGCCCAAGCCGCGGCAGCCAACGGCAACGCAGGGGGTCCCCCGCAGTCGGTCGGGCCCCCCCAGGCGCGCGTCTCGCCCGTATCCACGATGCAGTCCCAGTGCCATAGCCACAACCAGTCGCCCTCGCCCACCACCACGAGCGTCGCGAGCGTCGTTGCGCCTCAGGCCCCTCCGCAGCCACCGCCGCAGCAGGCCCCCACTCCACCGCACCACCACCCCCACCCCCATTCCCATCCGCACTCCCACTCCCACCATCACCAATTGCAGTTGCACGCGAGCTCGTCCTGCGCTCCCCAGCTCCACAGTACGCCCCACCATCCGGGCACGCTCCACAACAACCTACACAACCTCGTCTACGTGCATACCTACTACGAGGGGCCCTACATTCCCATTTACGTACGCACGTAGCCGACTCACTAAGCTCAGCCCTGAGATGGTGATTACTCCCTATACCCTCGAGTCCCCTTTCCCAGTGCGTTGTGATCGCTCGGCGGTGGCTCTCTCCCGCTCTTCGTCTTATTTTCTTACCCGCTGGCGTCGTGAAAGGCCCTGTGTTCACAATTTGATTGCTTGCTTCCTTATTGCGTTTCGGCACCGCGTGTGTCGCGTCACGCCGTTCCGACAAACACCAAAAGTCATGACAATAAGAGCGTGAAGCGAACAATGAAACGAAAACTAAAGGGCGTAAACCTCGTTTTTTGTCTTTTTCCACATTGTTTTTTTCGGCAAACTTCGCAGGATGATTTATCGAATCGCGACTTTTGGGTGAGAGCTCGTTGTGCTCAGCGTTAACGAGGCGTCCCGAGCGAATTTCGCCGCGTCGAGGACGCGGGGGTGGACAGATGTTACTTCGCTAACGAGCGTGACCGAATTAAAGTGCGCGAAACGAAGGTCGTTGGTTTTTTTTTCTCCGGCGTCGTCGTGCGGGTGATTTATCTTGAAAATTTAATGCGCGTGCCGACAGAGAAACTCGAAACAACGATCGTGTATCGTGTGAGCCATTCGTGTAATCGGATGACAAGTAGTACGAGTCGAGATTTTGTCAGACGCTCGCTGTTTCGGGACGGACGTGGCTATATAAAAGTGCAACGCGAAACGTCGATCGCATGTATAGGTTTAATATTAGGAATGACGTAGACACTTTTCGATAGATTTTTAGTTACGAGAAAGAAGTGCGGTAAAAGAAGTGGCGTTTGTTTGGATATACAGGCCGAGTGGGACGCAACGTCGCAATGAGAAAATCGTTTTTCTCTTCCCTTTTTTTTTTTCTCGGGACAATGGTATACATAATATACACATATACATGTACGATTAAATAACGATTCCATGTAACTATGTTAGATAAATAAATACGTATTGGTAAGGGCAAGATAAAAAAAGCGTTTTTCTCTTAACGGAACACGTTCCTCTGTATGCGGAAGAGAGCGAGCATGTAGTCGTGCTATGGGTCGGGATTTGCACGGATATAGACAAAAAAAAAATAATAATAATAATAATAATGAATTTAAAAAAAGAAATCGACGAAAATAATAAGGATCGAATTCTCGGTACGAGAGAAAAATGCGTACGTGCGGAAAAACGAAAAGGTGGAGGCAGAAAATATATATTTTTTATCGTAGCGAGACTCCGGTGCGATTAGCGCGACGACGAGGGACGGAGAAAGGCACGCTCCGGATTGTTCCCCTATTTTTTTTTTTCCAGTGCCGGAAGGTCAAATCGCCGCGTATACATGTATCTACGTAGGGTAGAGTTTTGGCACTATCGCCGCGGTGGGTTCGAGAGTCGTAATAAGAAAAGCAAAGAGGAGGAGGAAGAGGAGAACAATCGTAAGAATCGAAAGAGGGGAAGAAGGGTGAAGTTTGAAAAATCGCGGGTTGGATAATGACATGCCAAGGGCGAAATTTACATGGATGGGTACGCGAAGTTATGTCGGACTCGCGATCGGAAGGGGAAGAGCGAGGAAAGCAAAGGAGAAAAAAATGGGGAAAGAGCCGGTGATAAGATTGTGTAAAAAGTGAGGGGGAGAACGCGGTGGTGGCCTCGCGCACGACGAATGTGAGTTTGGTCGTTTGGACCTTTTTACACGAAAATACATTCCCGAATGAAGAAATGAAAAGTGAAAAAAAAGAAAAAAATAAATAAAACGTTCAAAGTTATAATCTTTTTTAGTTCTGTCCTCGCTTCGCTCGAGCCGCGTTGTCGGTGGAAGACCTTCTAGAAATTTTTTTAAAAATGAAAAAAAAATACAAAAAAAAATAAACAAAAAAAAATGAAGGATGGAGATGAAAAAAAAAAAAAACATTTAGAAAAAAAAATACAATGAAAGACGAGGTGAACGATGAATGCGATGTAAGGATTTATTACTAAAGTTGTATACTCGAGAGCGATGCGAAGCGATGACAGAACCCTACGTATTACTATATCGTATTATTAAAAGTAATATAATGTGGTGGGCGATAGCGTATTAGTGTTATACAAATATAATTGACTGCAATGGCTAGACAACAATTGAAAAAAATCGATAATGAAACAGATGAAACAAACAAAAACACAAATTAATAAAAATATGATAGTTTTAAGAGTAAACGACAAGGATATACACGAGTCTAAGGAAAAACGAGATAAAAGTTTGTCCCAACTTTTCCCATCCAATCGTCCACATAATGTAAAATTCATGGCAAGAAAAGATATCACGATTTCCTCCCGCCATGTATAGAGTATGAGATTTTTAAAGAAATAAATTATTTGGTATTTGGTTTCTTAAGGTGTTAGACACAGAACCAGAAACAAATGGAATTTAATAAATGAAAAAATTAATATATTAATAAAACAAAAAAAAATGATAAGATATAAGAATTAGTTTATATATTATTATATTTGACTTGAGCGAGAAACAGCGCACATTCAATGAATCAAATGGTATGCAATCGACTTACTTGAAACGATGATTTAGATATTACGTATTAAAAAGTCATTCGTAATCATGTAATCTATTATAATCAACACTATTACTATAATTATATCGCTATTATTATTACGTTGACTTTATTATTATAATTTTTATTAGTTATAAATTAATAATCATTATTATTGTTATCATTATCGTTGTAACTTGACTTTTTTTTACATAATCTTAGTCCTGCACTCACTTAAGTACCTATAGGTATAAAAATCTATATATTTTATATTGATATAAAGTACTAATAAATTATATAATATATATCACTGTTATATTTATATAATCGGAATAATTTTTTATTTGTTGTATAGTGATTGCAAGAACTTTGATTCGATGAATAATGTAATTTCTATTTTACACATAGAATTACATATAGGAACGAAAAAAAAAAATATAGTAATACAGCAAAACATGCCCTAAGTGCGTCTCCTCATCTTTATATGCATACGCACATACAGACATATGTATAGATAGTAGATAGGTCAAACAAATTGATTGTTTATATTTTGTATTGCCAATGAAGTAATAATTATACCGAGAGTAAACATCAAGATCATTTCTTGGAGCATGTCTAGTGGATTTTTTTCATCTACAAATAAATAAGTGTCATAAACTGGATAATACAAAAATGAGACTAGTTTACTTACTTTCTATAAAAAAAAAAATACTGCATATTTTTTATCTGCTCGACAGCTCTAAGCTTGGAACTTTGACGTTTGCTCTCGGAGAACAATATCTAACGTTCGCAATCACCTCCTTAATCTTTCTATATACCGTTAAAATTTGTTTCTGTTTTCTTCTTTTCACTTCGGGATTGATAAAGATGAAGAAACACATGAAATGAAACTATCATCCCACTTTCTCCTTCGTTCCTCGGTTTTCAAGTTTTTATTATATTTATCCTAACAACTTTTTTAAACGAAAAACCCAGTTCTGATCTGACGGTATCTACTATTCGTCATGTGTTTATATCCCTTCGATATTATACGACATTAAGTAACGAAGAAATAATACAAATAAATTATATGAAGAGGTAAAGAGAAGAAACGAGCAAATGGAATGATAAAAAAAAAGTAAAAACGAAACAAAAAAGAGTAATGAGAATCGATTTGCGCGTCTAATGTGATATAATATTGTCAACAAAATATTGCAAAAGTGAAAAAAAAACAAATAGAAAAAAAAAGAAGAAAAAATATGGTAACGATGAGGTATCGCGAGCAAGCAAGATAAAAAAAAAAGAAAGAAAAAAAGATTGAAAGAAATTTAACACTTATGATAAATGAATAGTATAATAATTATATTTATGAATAGGTCGATCGTTCACCACGATTTTTCGATTGATTTTACTAAATAATAAATAACTCTACCGATTACACTTATATCAAGAAGTAACGAATACCTTACCAATTAACGACGAGAATGATTAATGAATAATCGTAATACTAAATAAAATACTATTTGTGATTATGTAATGGCAATGACTTGCATTAAAACCGGGTCATGCAATACGTTTTGATGATGGAAATTCAAATAAAACAAATGTAAATCAAACTAAAACAAATATCTTAGACTCTTCTTTTATTGTTGTCTCACTTAAATCTTCTTGCTATACATATTTATATATTTATATACATCAATATTTATCAAACGCTTCTTTTATAACTTAAATTTGTTATTCTTACAAGAGTTGCCTTTTTTTATTATTTTTTTTTCCACTTCTCTTTATCATCATTAATTTTGCTTATAAGTACACAAAGTACAAAATTGATTTGCTAGAATTTTCGTTCTCGTACGAAAGAAAGTCAAACCTGTTAAAAAATGAAATGAAATGAAATGAAAAAAAAAAAAAAAAAAAAAAAAAAATTAATTCGGTAACTCAGAGAGCGATAGCAGTAACTTTTTCAATAACTTA